AGATGCGCAGCCTAGATATGCAGTCTGTTGGATGGGATTGGTATGCTAATCGGGCATACAAACGCAAGAAATGCTGAGAACCCTGTTGAGAAGGAACGAGGATCATGTCGGGCAACAAAATTACTAGCATCATCTTGTTGCAGGAGCATTTGCGGCTGGCGGCGGGGATGATAGCTCGGAGATGCAGGCCTGGTTGGCAAAATTTGCACATGTTCGAAAGGCAGCAGAGCAGAATCCGGCCATCTTGCAATGCAGCATTCCTGGATTTGAGCCTGCGCCTCCCAGTCAATTCATAATGGGCGCAGCTTCTTCGCGCGAAGTAGCAGGCGGGGAGAAGCCAGTTGATGCTAGAAATTGCGAAGCAGGGCCAGATCTCATACTGGAGACTTGGGTGCCGGGTTGGCTTTCATCGTTGTCGTTTGGGGAGCCGAGCATCTCCCTCACTTGTGATGAGCAGCGCAACGTGCAAACTATGGCAGAAGAAATGCAGGCATTCCGGGAGAAGGCTTGGCCAGGGTTGGGGCATTCTATATTGGGGCTGGGGGCGCCAAAAAAAACATGTCGGATTGTTCGCCGCCTGCAGGTGGATGCTTACTTTGGTTGGGATGGTAAAGTTCTCACTGCGCAACAGAAGGAGTATCGGGCGGCTGCGCAGGCCTGCTTAATGTCGCCGTGCCAAACAGCAGATTTGGCTTTCATGTGGTTTCATGCAAGTTGAGAAATATGTAATGTGTAAAAGAGACACGAGAGTAAAACAGTCAATCGCGCCAACAGTCGTGCGCATGGTCTGACTTGCTTGCGGCTGGCAAGGTTGCTGGACGCTGGGTGTGATGACGGGAAGTCGGAGTTGTTGTTGCGCAAGATATTCACACTCATCGCTGGCGAGCTTTTCCGATCACACGGCGGGCAACTATTTGAGTACAGCAACGGGGCTTGGGCCCCTGCGTGTCGTGGCTTCACCTCTGTTGCACTTGAGTTCATTGTCAGAGCACTCCGCCGAGCTCAGGCGTATTATGGGGTCATGTCGAGTGATGATCGGGGTGCCCCCCAGCGCAGCTTCCAGCCGGTAGCATTCATCATCAAAGTGATTCAGCTTGTGGGGGGCGACGCGGTCTTGCTGCAATGGCAACTGCAAGACATCTTGCCCAAAAAAACAGAGTTGAAGGCCAAACACTGGGTGCATGGCTTGAGCGAGCTCTGCAAGGTAATCCGCCACCAGTTCGATGAGCATCACAGGCTGCAAAGTTTGGGAAAGGGTCCGGGTCACGCATGTCTGTCCGTTGTGTGTTGGCCGCATGTTGGCAGATGTCTTCCGTAAAAGTGTGGGAAGCGTAGAAGCACGTGGTGTCGTTTGCGTACACTGCGCGCATGTGTGAACGTGGGGGCATGTCCATATGTAAGCGGAGTGCCAGGAACATCCTGAAGGTGTTCCATCGTTGGTCTGATGAGGATTTGAGTTCGAAGCAGCAGCCTGGACTTTGTTTCCGCGATGCGTTTATCTGCACTGTGGATGGAAGGTTGCAGCAACTGAAGAAGGATGCACGACACGGGTGCTATGTTTCCATCCCCACTCAGTTACTCTTTCAACCATCCACCGAATCCAGGCGTCGCTATGCCGGTATCCTCTTGTCGGCATTTGCGGGGAGCGATGGCCTGAAAGTTCTGCTGGATCAATGTGCACTCGTCGCTGCACGTGCTCGGCAGCCTGACATCCTGCACATGGTAGTCGGGCCAGGACAAGACGGCAAGACGTTGATCTTCGTGGACCATATGCGTGCAGTGTTCGGTTCCGGTTTTGGATGTGCGCCCTGTACTATGCTGCAGACCGAGCGAGAGTTTCAGCAGCAAGGGGCCAACTTCATTCAATGTTGTTACATGGTCTTTGATGAGTGTCGGCGTGAGCAGGGGTTGGTGGAGGATCTGGTCAAGGTCTTCGTAGGTGGCGGTTGGCTGCCCCTCCGCCGCAACCATGAGGCAGAGACAAAGTACGGCCATTGGTCTTATGCGGGCAAGGTATGGTGTCTGAATGTGGGCGACATACCGCATCTTCCCACAGCCGAGGAGATTTCCCACGCCAGGAGGTTTCGGTGCACCTTCATGCGGAGCCACTTCACTAGCAACGGTGCAGAAGTGGCTGCAGAGCGCAAGATCTTCCGGGCAGATCCGGGCGCCAAAGCTTTCATGTCCTCAGGGGAAGCAGTGTGGTGTTTCTACCATGATTTCTTGTTTCCGCATTTGCAAAAGTTCGGCGTGCAGACCTGCAGCAACGCTCTCGAGTACAGCACAGGTTGTGGCAGTTTGGGCAAAGATTCGGAGTGGCTTTTGAAGCGCATGAACCGAAGCACAGACGCAGCCTGTCCAGAAGACCTTGTTGATGGCAGTGGCAAACCAGGTCACACGGAGCAGAATGTCATGTCGCCTTCGGAAAAGCTTGTGAGGGACACGCACAAAGCCCTTGAGCTGGATTTCTTTTCATCTGCGCCGGCCTGAGTTGCAAGGCTAGCCCATACATGGGGGGCGCAGTCATGAGGCGGGCACGCGACATTTACGAGCATGCCTAGCTGTCTTATTTTGTCGGGGATTTGGAACGACGTTGCGAGTCAAAAGTGTTTTTTCTTGCTCTGCGCAGCTTCCTGGGAAGATTG